CAAACACACACACATATATATATATATATATATATATACATACACACACAAACCTTTGAATATGCTATGGTTTCTGTCTTTCTGGCAGGCTTAAATGATCGTGGCGTTTTGCCATATTTTCCCAATTTTTCTCAGAGCCAAAGCATCATTTTGCCTGAAGTACCAGCTCTTGGTACACTTGGCGACTATGAAATGCAAACACTTGGGTCACAACGGAACAAGTCACCTGACAAAAGGTCCGATGTGACAATCGAGGAAGCAATGCATTCTGCAGTCATCTCCGCCTGAACATGCACACATTCATCTGCCCAAGCATTAGTTTCCTGCTGTCGGTATGCCTGTAGGTGTGTGCGCGTAAGTGCATGCCTCCATGTCGTTGTGTTTGCACAAGTCTAGACAGAAGGAGTGTGTTCAGTGCAGTCTCGCATACCAGCGCATACAAGGTGGCGGCATTGAGCCTGTGCACAGACACGACTACCGTTGCCGTCAAGAGCATCAGTCAGGTCTGTTGCCACAGCAACGCGCTGAGGTGTAGGCCTCAAGACACACATGGACAGACGAACATGTTTTCATAACTTTTGATTCTGTATGGAAAGGAGTATCTCTTCGAAACTCTACTTCTCCTCATGCCTGCGCATCAACAGACACACGTACTTGACCGACACACACACACACACACACACACACATATTGCATTGCCCAAAATGTGTGTTTCTGCTCTATGTGTGGTTGTTGCATCATTTGTGTTCCGTCATTCTCTGTCCTAGCGAGTGTGCAATTTTCGCTTCCGCGTCATGTCAGGCTGGGCTATGAAATGGGCCTGTGGGAGTGTGTCGAGACTGGGACATTCTGGCCAGTTGTCGCGGATTCGACGAGGAAACGAGGTGATTGCGCCAAACCGGATAGACATTCTGTCCGGTCCGGTCCGGTCCGGTCCGGTCCGGTTTGGTCTGGAACTGAGCAGACGTTGACTGGCGGCCTGCGAGCTCATTCCGCTCTTCTGCCCATCGTCTCTTGCGGGCCTCGTCTGCCTCGTAGACGTTGGGACCCCATCATCTTTCCTACCATCCCCTCCGATAGGCCTAGTCCTTGTGTCTGCATGTGCATGTGTGTTTGTGTTTGTGTGCGCCCACCAGTCTGTCGAGACTGGCTCGGCTGCGCGGGCCAGTTGGACCAGTTGGACGTCGTTTGATTCTGCTCAGGTCCGATAGCGCGTCCCAGTTGCGTCGTGCAGGCTTCATGTTGTGCACTCGGCGACCAGTTCAGGCCTCAATCTCACCGCCGACCTCGAAAGGCATCAAAAGCCACTGGCACATCTTCTCCGTTTCTCTCGGTTCACTTGTCTCGCCCATTTGTTTGTCATTTCCCACTCAACCACAACCACAACCACAACCACACACACACACACACACCGACAGACAGACAGACGGATATAGGGACAGACGGATCGGGAGAAAGGGTGATCGAGAGGAGGGTTGTCTGCTCGGGCATGGGCCAAGCCGTCGACTGGTTCACGGTGCTTCTGCTCACCGGCCACGTCTTCTCGTTGACGTCGGGCGCCGCGTTGGCCAGTCAAGC